AATAAGCAATATTATAAATATTATGTTAAACGGTTAATTTTTCTCAAAAAAAATTATTTCGAATTTCCGAAATTTTTGACATTTTGGCTGAGAACTATGGTCTGCGAGGTACATAGATAGAATCAGTACCTCGCAGACTATAGTTCTCTATATGGCGCCGAAAATTTTTTGGTGAAATGTCGTCGCATTTCACCAAAAATTTTTCGGCGCCATAGGAAGAATTGGAGGGTGTGAGATACTATTACATGCTATAGTACTCACACCCTCCAACTCCCAATCAAAATCGCATAAAATTTGCTACTTATCTTCAGATTACCTCCCATTATAAAATATATCATTGCTATCTCATCGTACTATATTTCCACCCTATTGTATTTAAAAATATAAAATTTTTTGATAATATATTTTTATATCTTGAATTTTCAAGCAAAATATTCACAGATAATATAATGGGAAATCTATCTCAACCTAGCCTTAAAGTACCAAACTCCTGCTTGCATTCTCACTCACAAATATTAAACATCCATCTCCAAAAAACTAAATTCTTCACAATTTTTTAAAATTGAGAACATAAAAAATGTATGCATTCAATAATTTAAGATACTAACAAATATTAAAAACTTCAAAATATCAGATATTAACGTTTTTCAATTAAAAAAATATCATTTTGCTTTTCAATTCGAACATAAATCTTAAATATTTTTAATTAATATCTGATTTACAGCATTATTATCCATTTATAAATCTGACAAATAAATGACAAAACCATCAGAAATAGTGTCACTTTTTGTCAAAAGTGAAGTCACGCTATTTTTCATGCACAACACTCCATGGGCAAGCTTGTCGCAATTCAATGGGTTCCAAATCCAGGCAAGAAGACGAAGGTCAGACACATTGACGGTGACAAGCTCAACAACCGTAAGGAGAACCTCGAGTGGTTCTAAGAGTAAAAAATATTTTAGGGGGAAACCCCAAGTAAATTTAAGTGTTTAGTTGGATAAGTAGGCACTATTAATGGTAATTTGGAAAATTAGCTCCCGACCTTTGAATTGGGCTCTTTCGTTATCTTCCCAGTTGCGTAGGAGGTCGTCCCAGAGGAGTTGGTAGAATTGCCAATTCAAGGACGATTTGTCCTCCCAGGCATTGAGGATGTACTGCTCGTAGAGTCTCATGACCTCTGCCTTGCACCAGACACCCTCTCCCTTGGAACGTAAGGCTTCTTCGAAGTGCTCGAATGCGATTGGCTGCTTGACCATCCGAAATGACACTTTTTGTCCGTTTGGTCAATGTTCGTGTCTCGTGCCATAGTCGACGAAAATACTATCATAAGACAAATTACGGAAAGTGAACTCAAACAAAAAGTGACACAATGCATTTGCCAACCAAATAACTTTACAAAGCAAAAACTTAAATTACTTGTCAAGCTTACTATTCTTATTTTAACAATTAAAAAATTAAATTTATTTTTTATTTAAAAAAATCATCTTATATCATCTGATATATATATATAACAGCATTAATATTTCAATGATTCACAAATCAACTTTTTCATTATTTTAAATAATTATAGAATATATACCGACTTTTTGTACATAAATATTTTTAGATTCAATAATGATTTACGGTTTTTTTCAAAACTTATAATTTTCAAATGAGTGGTAGAATCTTCGATTTAATTGATTTAGAATGGTTAAATCAAGCTAATCAACAAATTCAAAGCGGTATTAACGTCGAAACCGTTCTCCAAAATGTCCCTTTAACAGATGGAAGAATTCTTCCCACAATATCACATAAAACTTTTAAAAACGCTCTTAATTTCAATCAAATTGAAATTCCAAAATTACGTACAGGTCCAAAACCAAAAGATCCACCACAAGAATTAATAAATACTGTCCAAAATTTACATAATAAAGTTCAAAAAATAGGAATTTCCCGGGCTTTCGGCCGAATTATAACAGATCGTCAAATGATACTTGAATCGCAAATGCAAAATCAACAAAATATTCAAATTCATTTTCCAATTCCACAATTGTCTCAACGGAATCAAAATTCAGAGTTTGATTACAGTTCTCCTGACATTTCAAGTTCATCTGAACAGTTATCATCAGAAATCTCTTCAAATTCCGACGATTCATCAGCCGAAGAATTATTTTCATCAAGTCCAAATTCAATTGATACAGAATCGGATATAAATTCAGAAGATGACCCATATTCAATACGCACAAATACAACTTCAACATTTGAAAAAACTACAGATTATTTTGACCGTAAATTATTGAACATTCAATTTTCCGAAAGAACTGTTAATAAATGTTTCAAACTTCTCAATCTTGCACAACCGCCAAAAAATTCAAAGGCAAAAGGTCAAACAAAATACGAAGCTTTTTACGTTAATGAAATATGGCATGTAGATATTCACTTTTTAAATCATCGCCAAGGTGAATATCTATATGCCGTTATTGACGATAAATCACGAAAAATTTTGGCTTGGTCACATCTCGAAACTAAAGAAGCGGCACAAACAAGTCGTGTCATTCAACAATGTTTCGATGTATATGGCAAACCGTTTGCCATATGGAGTGACAATGGGCTTGAAAACTACGGTGTTTTCAAAAATTTATTAAAAAATGCAAACGTCGAATCAATCACGATAATACCACACTGCCCTTACATGAATGGCAAAATCGAAAGATTTTGGCAGAATATTCAAGTTGATGAGGTAGCTTGGGATCAAATTCAAAATTTAATCGAAAATTATAACGCAACACCACATACACAGTTACCAAAAAATCCAGAAATACATACCTGGTTTACACCAAACAAATTTTATGATATCAGCGAAAAATATGATACCACCAAAGAACCCCTTTGGAAAGTTGATGGAGAAATTAAGGATTTGAGGATTTCTCTTCAACATTTCCGCGAGAGGAGAGCCAATCAAAGAAATTAATTCGGTAATATTTTAAAATCGAAAATAAAATCTAATTTTTAACACAAATTAACAATATCGATTACATCTTCTTACTAAGCTCAGTCAGATTAATAAGAATAAACACTTACTTTTTAAAACATTTACATATTTTTTTTCTTCGTTACAGAGATACGCAAGTTGCAGAAGAAGCAGCAACTGTAGTACAGTAATTTGACACTCCGAAATCGAACATTAGTGACTTTGAGTAGATTTTGAATTTAATATAGATCTTGATTTTTAATAACCATCATAGCAAGAGCTAGTTGGTGAATGGTATCCGCGAATTTCGGCTTGAAAGTTGGGAAACTTTGTCCGAATGTTAAACTATTCGGACAAAGTTTCCCGCTGTTTGCGAAGGAATTGTTGGCTATGATGTACTGATTCATGATCAGTGCATCATAGCCAACAATTCCTTATACAAAGTTCAAAAACTTGGGTGCAATCAGAACTGATTGCACCCAAGTTTTTGAACTTTCTCGAGGAATGAAAGGTAAGAGATATCCATTTCCTTTCACCTTCGTTCTCAATAATTAACTTATAAATTTTTTAAAGCAAAAAAAGTCTGATTTTTTTTGACAAGTAAATATATAGGGAATTTATCCGACCAAATAAGTGTCACTTTTTCGGTTCACCTCACTTTCCGTAACTCGTCTTACAACAATACAGACAAACAGGTTATATATGAGTTTGAGACCAAGAATGGTGTAACTCGACCTGTCCGATTCAAAGACTCCGAGGGCGACCATGAAATTAAACGGAAATTAGCTAGGAAGGAATATAAAATGGACTGGTTGCCACCACCTCCACCACCTTTACCTGTTCCTCAAGTAAATAAGCCTTTCCCGTTCCCAAGAATTCCCACATTTAAATTCAAATTCGAATAAAAATTTTTTATTTCATGCAATGTTTAACTATTTCACCATCTTCTTTAACACCCCAGTACTTACGCTTGGAGAGGACATGAACTTCGGTGAAAATTTTGTCCAATTTGAATTGACCCATCTTTTCACCGACCATTCCCATTTCAATGAGTTTGTTATAGCCTTCTTCGTTCGTCATGAGTGCGTCAATGTTCTCATAGTAAACCTTGACTTTGGATTTGACTTCGGAGAAGAACTCATTGTAGTTGTCAAGGACTGCCTTTGCGAACTGAGGGTAAGACCAATGTTCGACAATAGGTTTTAATGTGGTTACTAAGCCACTTTGACCTTGAGTGAATTCGTACTTCAAAACAAAAGGAGAAAACCCTTCAACAAAGTTGTCGACCTTCTCATAATGTTTACTCTTCATCTCTTGAGGTTTCTTAATGGAATATCCCCATGTCGAATTCATAAGCAATTTGAGTGTCATTGCAAGTTTGGGGTTTGAAGCTTTCCTAATATCATACAGTTGTTGTATGACTTTTCCAACTGTATAGTTCCTTCCCGGGAACTCACCATCTTCGTTTGGAATTCCAGTCGGAATATATTGGACAAACCTCATGTATGCAGCGTTAAGGTCGACATAGTATATCTTTTCATCTGAGTCGAACTTGTTGCAACCAATTGGTCCAGTTTGTGGAAATTCAAGTGAGTCTCTTATCTTCTGAGAAACTTCTCCTGTTATCTCATAAACATCGTCGAAGCAACCTGTTTCATATAAAACCTTCTGACCTAACTCAGATGCTCTCCAATATAATTTGACGTCAATTGGATGTCTCAATGGAAGTTTGTTTATAGCATCTTGAAGTTCTTGCAACCTCATTGGAAGTTCTTCTGGTTCAGGTTGGTATCTGAACATACCAACCCCTTGTGGAACCGTGTACTTCTTTTGTACTAGAACTTTGTCTGGAACAACTTTTGGTCTTGCTAACAATGAAAAGTTTGTTTCGTCTTTTGGTACAAAAGTTTCTGTCAGCTTGTCATCTGGAATTGGTTCCAACAAACCTTTCTTGAAAAGAATGTTGACAGCTCTGACAATGTTGCACTTACTTTTACCAAAGAATGGGTTTGTAAGACTTTCGTTCAACATGAAGTGGTTGTGGACAATTACAATCTTCAACCATGGTAAGTCTTTGTCAACAACATAGTCGTCATGTGAAGAACCTTTAGCTGTAGGTATGTTGACTCGGATATTGACATTTGCCAACGGTGCAATTTTTGCCAATTGACCTCTGAGAATGTACCTTGTCTTCACACATGACTCAAGATACTTCATCTTCTCATCTGTAACAAGACCAGAGTTCCTGAGACATGTAAGAATGCAAGGTTCATTGACAATTGTTTCAATTGAATTGTAAATTCCATACCTTGTCAAGTCAATGTCAGACTTATTTATGAAGGGGAAGTATCCAGCATGTTGTCTGACTGCTTGAGGGTTAGGTTGGTACCATTCGAACTTGACACTTGCAATTCCTTCAATTGCATTCAAAATGTCTGAGTCGGAGTCAACCATTTGTTCTCTCTTTGTAGTCTTGAAAGCGTCAAGAAGTTTTGCGGCTGTTTGTTCATTGCCATGTGCATAGTAAATGTGACCATCCAAATCTGTTATGGTCAATCTGAGATTGTGTCCTTTCTTATTTCCGTCTTGAATTGCAGCAAGTACTCCCATGAAGCCTTCTTTGTTCTTTCCTTCGTCAAAGTTTACTGTAAAGGTTCGACCAGATGTAATTTGACTTCTAACTTCACGATACTTTTCATATGCATATCTTGTTCTTTCCATGGGAGCATGTGCGTCTTCACCTTTTCCTTTTTTCCTTCTCAAAGGATGCAATTGTTCGTCATGTTTCCAGTAGAATCTGGCAAAGCCGTCGTGTCCTTCAACTTGAGGTTCACTAACATCGAAAGGCATGTCCATAAGACGTTCTTCTTCTAACCTCTCTAGTCTGTTTGGATAATTGGCACGTGCTGTTTCCAAATCCATTTCGTAGCGAAGACCAGACAATTTGTCATAGACTTTTATGGGTCTTCCCTTCCTATATTTAAAATTCTTCGAAACTCTCCAACCATATCTTTGTAACTCTGCTTTTATTCTAGCAGACTTTCTATCCATTCTATATGGGGCATTTTTATAAAAATAAAAAAATATTTTTTCTTTACTTTACATAACCGCCTGCTGCCATAAGTCTTTGACGCCAACCCATACCAGCTAATGAAGGTTGACTTGGTTTAGTTTGGAAACTAAACTTTGGTTTTGGTTTATCTTCAGTTTTTGGTTTCTCTTCTTCTATCGGTTTTTCGTCACTTTTCGGTTCCTCTGACTTTACTTCACTTGCAGGAACAGTTGTGTCGTCAACATCTTCATAAATATCATATGCCATTTGTTTTTGTTTTCCTTTCAACTTTTTGTGTTTGTTGTAAAGTTTAGAATATTTCGACTCTAAGTCAATGAGATGTTCTATAATGAACTGTTGGTCAGTGAAGTAAACTTTTCCATCTGTTGTCTCCAAAGCTGTAATGCATGAAAAATAGCGTGACTTCATTTTTGACAGTTTACAAATGTAAAGTGTTGCATCCTTAAAAACTTGGAAATATATACATTCATGAATTATCTTGTATATTAATTGAAAATCCATAAAACCCTAACAATATTTTTTCTTAAAAAAACTATAAAAATATAAATAAAATTAATCGTTAAATAAAAATATTTGATATTAGAATTTTATTGGAAAAATAAAAAACTTAATATTTTAAAGAAATACTTAAATACTTGAATGTTTTAACTTTTACATTATCATATAGACTCTCAAATTATTGATTGGAAACGGTTTGAGGGTTATCAATTTAAAAAAAATTGTGAGTTTTTTAAATTTTTGGCAATGAGTTTTAAAAATTTGTGAGTGAGAATGTGTGTTGATGCTTGGCACTTTGAAGGGAAGATGTTCTGGTTCACAATTATTAATGGGATAAATAAAATGATTATAAATATAATATATTAGAAAATAATTTGCAAAATCTCTCCATTTTTATAAATTTAATAATAGAAGTTGATCTATATAGAAAGAGCATTTTATCTATTAAGTTTTTGGCTTTTGCCTTCAAATCATTAATATAATTTTTTCAAAAAAAATTGTTTTATTTAAAATAAACAAATTTTATCAAATAACTAGTATTTTTAAATTATCTTTTGAAAAATTGAAAAATTTACAAATTAAAAAATGGAAGACATCTTGGTTCGTCTCGAAAACCCAGAAGATCTTAAAACTTTTCAACTCCCAACCGTTCCCGCCGATCAGGTTCTCAACGTAATTGAAGAAAAATATCAAGAATACATTAATAATCCAAATGTAACTCTCGAAGATACGGCAAAAACACTTTCAATAGGAAAAGAACGTTTGAAAAAAATTTTCGTACTACTCGGCTATCCAATAAAAGAAAGAGGAAGACCAAAGAAAAAAATTTTTGAGGAAGATGTATACAAAATTTTGGAAATTAAAGCACAATATGACATTGGATACAAAAGGATCAAAGAATCATATTTCGAAAAAGTCGAAAGATTTACATTCAACGATGCTTTCAAAATTTTCAATCAACAACATTTGTTTACATTTCACAGGCATCAGAAAATCGACGAACATCCACATGAATACGTTGCTCAATATGTTAATCAATTGTGGCATACTGATTTGAAATTTCTGAAGGACGATAACGGTAACCTTCAATATTTAATTTCATTTCTTGATGACAGAAGCAGATACATTATTTGCTGGGATGTTTTCGATACAAAAGAAATGAAAAATACTGCCAGAGTATTTCGTCACGCAATTGATTTAGTCAAATTAGTTCCACATGGAATTCTCACAGATAATGGAACAGAATTCATTGGAAAAGATTTTGAAGCGGTTTGCCAAGAATTCAATATAAAACATTTCAAAACTCATCCGTACTCTCCAGAGGAAAATGGAAAAATTGAAAGGAGTTGGGAGACTCTTTTCAAGACAAACCCTGGAGTGAACGTCTTTGAGTTCATCCCCAATGTTGTTTCCCAGTATAATAGGGTATGGAAACACTCCGCATTATTCAAACTCTTTGGGGAGAAATTGACTCCATTTGAGGCCTGGAAAGAGGCCCCAAATGGACAAAAGATCTCTGCGCTGAACCAGGCTTCGAAAAAAATCTTAGAGATTAACAAATAATTTCAAAAACAAGAAAATTCAAAAAATCACAAAAAGGAAGTTAAGGAATAAACACTTACATTTATTACATTTGGATTTTTTAAAAAATTCAGTATTATTTTTAGAAATAAGATAATATAGTTCTAAATAAAACAAAGAATGTTAAGAATGAAGAAGGAATTAGCGGATGCAGCCGAAGCACACTCACAAATTACTCTCAATATCCACTCAAATCATACAAAGTTTTGTCGAATAGTTTGATATAAAGACAAAAAATTTACAATTTTTAATTAAATCCGAACAATCTTACATATGCAGCTGAAGCACACTCACAAATTACTCTCAATATCCACTCAAATCATACAAAGTTTTATATTTTCATTTTATTGTTTCTTAATAAAGAATTTACTTTAATATTCTTAATTGTTTTCTTTTTTATATTTAATTTTTGATATCTATTTTAAAAAACTTATACAAATTCGAGTCAGCTAATAATTGAATTGAAAAAATAAAAAGAAAACATATAATTTTTAATCCGTCTAATTGAATAAGCAATATTATAAATATTATGTTAAACGGTTAATTTTTTCTCAAAAAAAATTATTTCGAATTTCCGAAATTTTTGACATTTTGGCTGAGAACTATGGTCTGCGAGGTACATAGATAGAATCAGTACCTCGCAGACTATAGTTCTCTATATGGCGCCGAAAATTTTTTGGTGAAATGTCGTCGCATTTCACCAAAAATTTTTCGGCGCCATAGGAAGAATTGGAGGGTGTGAGATACTATTACATGCTATAGTACTCACACCCTCCAACTCCCAATCAAAATCGCATAAAATTTGCTACTTATCTTCAGATTACCTCCCATTATAAAATATATCATTGCTATCTCATCGTACTATATTTCCACCCTATTGTATTTAAAAATATAAAATTTTTTGATAATATATTTTTATATCTTGAATTTTCAAGCAAAATATTCACAGATAATATAATGGGAAATCTATCTCAACCTAGCCTTAAAGTACCAAACTCCTGCTTGCATTCTCACTCACAAATATTAAACATCCATCTCCAAAAAACTAAATTCTTCACAATTTTTTAAAATTGAGAACATAAAAAATGTATGCATTCAATAATTTAAGATACTAACAAATATTAAAAACTTCAAAATATCAGATATTAACGTTTTTCAATTAAAAAAATATCATTTTGCTTTTCAATTCGAACATAAATCTTAAATATTTTTAATTAATATCTGATTTACAGCATTATTATCCATTTATAAATCTGACAAATAAATGACAAAACCATCAGAAATAGTGTCACTTTTTGTCAAAAGTGAAGTCACGCTATTTTTCATGCACAACACTCCATGGGCAAGCTTGTCGCAATTCAATGGGTTCCAAATCCAGGCAAGAAGACGAAGGTCAGACACATTGACGGTGACAAGCTCAACAACCGTAAGGAGAACCTCGAGTGGTTCTAAGAGTAAAAAAATATTTTAGGGGGAAACCCCAAGTAAATTTAAGTGTTTAGTTGGATAAGTAGGCACTATTAATGGTAATTTGGAAAATTAGCTCCCGACCTTTGAATTGGGCTCTTTCGTTATCTTCCCAGTTGCGTAGGAGGTCGTCCCAGAGGAGTTGGTAGAATTGCCAATTCAAGGACGATTTGTCCTCCCAGGCATTGAGGATGTACTGCTCGTAGAGTCTCATGACCTCTGCCTTGCACCAGACACCCTCTCCCTTGGAACGTAAGGCTTCTTCGAAGTGCTCGAATGCGATTGGCTGCTTGACCATCCGAAATGACACTTTTTGTCCGTTTGGTCAATGTTCGTGTCTCGTGCCATAGTCGACGAAAATACAGACAAACAGGTTATATATGAGTTTGAGACCAAGAATGGTGTAACTCGACCTGTCCGATTCAAAGACTCCGAGGGCGACCATGAAATTAAACGGAAATTAGCTAGGAAGGAATATAAAATGGACTGGTTGCCACCACCTCCACCACCTTTACCTGTTCCTCAAGTAAATAAGCCTTTCCCGTTCCCAAGAATTCCCACATTTAAATTCAAATTCGAATAAAAATTTTTTATTTCATGCAATGTTTAACTATTTCACCATCTTCTTTAACACCCCAGTACTTACGCTTGGAGAGGACATGAACTTCGGTGAAAATTTTGTCCAATTTGAATTGACCCATCTTTTCACCGACCATTCCCATTTCAATGAGTTTGTTATAGCCTTCTTCGTTCGTCATGAGTGCGTCAATGTTCTCATAGTAAACCTTGACTTTGGATTTGACTTCGGAGAAGAACTCATTGTAGTTGTCAAGGACTGCCTTTGCGAACTGAGGGTAAGACCAATGTTCGACAATAGGTTTTAATGTGGTTACTAAGCCACTTTGACCTTGAGTGAATTCGTACTTCAAAACAAAAGGAGAAAACCTTTCAACAAAGTTGTCGACCTTCTCATAATGTTTACTCTTCATCTCTTGAGGTTTCTTAATGGAATATCCCCATGTCGAATTCATAAGCAATTTGAGTGTCATTGCAAGTTTGGGGTTTGAAGCTTTCCTAATATCATACAGTTGTTGTATGACTTTTCCAACTGTATAGTTCCTTCCCGGGAACTCACCATCTTCGTTTGGAATTCCAGTCGGAATATATTGGACAAACCTCATGTATGCAGCGTTAAGGTCGACATAGTATATCTTTTCATCTGAGTCGAACTTGTTGCAACCAATTGGTCCAGTTTGTGGAAATTCAAGTGAGTCTCTTATCTTCTGAGAAACTTCTCCTGTTATCTCATAAACATCGTCGAAGCAACCTGTTTCATATAAAACCTTCTGACCTAACTCAGATGCTCTCCAATATAATTTGACGTCAATTGGATGTCTCAATGGAAGTTTGTTTATAGCATCTTGAAGTTCTT